GGTGGAACTTAGCTGACTGAATTCCTACCATAACCTGAGCAATGACTAATAGAAAGTAAAAAAATGGGCAAGAAACTATCAAGAAAAATTATTTTCCAGGGTTAAGAAACTGTAATCTATATGATAATAATAGGAGGAAAATCTGTCCTTTAGCTGACCTGTACCTCAAATTGTGTTGATGCCAAAGAAGTCAATATGGCAGAAGGGTGGAATATTTTTACCATATTTTAAGCAGAAAAAGGACTTTGTTTGGCAGAGAAGGTTAAGGAAGAAAACAGAGCTATGTCTGGACAGGTGAGCATGGGGCAGTTACTCTTTCAGCAGGGAAATATCTCTCTATAATTGACTTTAGGAACCTCATGGACCAGTTGGCTAGCAGCAACTCCAGCTGAAGATGAATGAAAGGAAGGAAATTTGACTCCATTCTGTCTTTCCAGTAGTGATGCAGCAGAATAAAATGGCTACTATGATGTTGCTGTATACAAGATATTTGGAAACCTACTGCAGTATAGCTTTATAGCAGGACCCTATAAAACTTGCTTTTCTTACTGTCAAAAATCTGCACTGGGAATTCTGCAGCATATAAATGATTTACAATGTTTTATTTTGAACATCAGGTATATTCATCAAAGTGACTTTGACCTGGAAAAATGCAACCAGGAGCAACATATTAGAAAAAGTCATCCTATGCATACGGGACACAGAAAATATCAGATTACTTTGTATTAAAAGGAAAATTACTTTCAAATCAGGGATAGTTTTTGATAACTCTATAGTTTTTCTTTTTGGGAGATACAACTAAGCATCATTTATGTGGTAGTCCTATTATTGTAGCTGCAGTATGAAAGAAATAACATGGAAGTACTGTAAATATAGTAGTAATGACGAAATATAACATGATTTACCTGCAGGAGATGCTGAAAAATTGTCAATGGTAACCAATGCCATGAAGGAAAAATGAATTTTTCTCACTAGATGATATGGATACCTAAATAAATCAAGCCCACTATCAAAACACTATTAATTTTTTTAGAATATGTACTCTGCAGAGAAAGAATTTTGATTTAATGTGATTGGAAAACACATAGCACCTTGTGGGTCCTTTTATAATAAATATGAAGAAATAGAATCTGAGTTCTTACAAGAACATATCACTTATAAAGTTCTCCTGATTCAGAAAAGGAAAGAAAGACAAAGAAAACAGTGGTAGTACAAGAAAATGTGAATCATGTTCCACGGTTCTTAAATGCATTATACAACTGCCACTTGAGAAATACTTTGAAGCAGAACTCCTTTTTTGTAAACAATTTTGTTGTCTATAATGAACACCAAAATATTCTACCAGAGAATGGGTAGAATTATTAACAATAAATGTGTCAGTTTTAAAACATATATCACATAATTATTAGGAGCTTGACACAAAGAAATTGCTGACAGCAATATGCTACATCCTTTTTTTTTCAATAATTTGCCATAATGACCCTCTATGTCCCATACTTAAAGTAAAAAAAAAAAGAAAAGAAAAATAGTAGCAAATGGCAAATGAATGTGTGATAGTTTTTGAGGATGGTAACTGACATGGAAAAAACCGAATTCTTGCAAGAGAAGTTGTTGTAGTGTGTTCTGTTAGTTTGTTTAATTGCTCCCCCATTTTCTGTATTTCTCCCCCATTTTCTGTAATGGTTCTGCCCTCCCAGTTTTTCTTGCTTTAGCTTTGTCTGTTATTATGTTCCCATGGCAACTCCCGCCATGGTATTGTCTGTCATTTGGTTACCTTGGTTACTCCCTCCACAGTTTATGTCAATCCTCTCTGTTATATAATTTCCCCTCCCCTGTGTTTCCTTATATGTGAATTTGTTCTCCTCCCTGGGCCCAGTCAATCACTCCCCACCCCTCCTAGTTTGCCAGAATCTTCTGTGCTTAGGGAGACTTGATTGGCTGTGGCTCCGGGGCCCGTCCTTTACATTGTTTCTATTGGGTTTTTCCTCATGTCAGTTATCCTAAGTTCACTCCCCTACCTTCCCCTATTGGTCCTTTGTAAACCCCTCCCTGAGATCCCTCCTCCCCTTATAACCCTGTTGCACTCTTCGTTCTGGGGCACACGCCAGTAGGCATGTTAGATTCAACACCTGTGTGACTGTCACTCCCGGGTTCTACAATAAATCTGACAAGTCCCCAGTGAGTGTCCAGACTCTTTACTCTCGTTGGCCAGCAGCGATTCCGTCCGCTGTGAGCGCAGCCCGAAACCTTCTGATGCCGAGGGGTGCCCACACATTGCTGCTGGGTGTTGGCCGCCCTCCTCTTAGCCGGACACCTGACTTTAAGGCCACACCTCGCTGCAAGAAGTGTCAGAAATCTTGGAAGAAAAAGATAAGACTGATGTTTCCTCCCTATAAAGAAGCAGTGTGACTAGTGTCCCACTCACCTTTTGTAGCAAGTTATGCTTGCTTCTTAAAAATTGCCTCTGTCCTTTTAAATGTATTATATTCAATGTCAAGGGGTTCTGTGTCTTTCTGAATTACATTAAAAAAACTTTAACTTGCATGCATTTCCTTCTAGAGGGAATGTTTGTGCGCGTCACCTCATTATCTACTTTTTGAAAAACAGAGTGAAATAGTCTACTGCTATGTTTTCTACAGTCTTTGAAGTATTTTCTACCTCATTCCCAAACCCTTCTCAGTTTTAACATCACTCTTTCCAATATATTTTATGACAACAAAATCAGTGCTTCCTTTTCTAGAAGTCCTCTTCTTATGAATCCAAAATGTAAAGTACTCCATCAGTAATCTGTCACTTTACTCTGCCGCTGTGAGGTTGCATTAGGTGCTGATGTTGAATTACTTGTCCACATATAACCACTGTCATTCTCCAAATTACTGCATTTCAGGACACAGTTCCCTGCCCTTAGAAATAGCCAATAGCACATATTTATTTTATTTACAGTCACTTTATATTTACTTTCAAATCACTAATAAGGCAACTGGCCAAATTTGTATCCTCACAAACCCTAGCTGTATTTCATGATCTCATCAGAGATCAGATGCTTTCAGAGCTAACGTTTATACCCATTTACCTATGTTGTTAATGCTCATTTCTTTTAGTCAGAATATTATTGTTGTGTTGCCAGTGTGCAATAGTGTTGCCAAATATTTTTCAAATATTTGAAATATTAAATCTTCACAAATTAAAAATCTAATTAGTTTATTTAACATACAAAATATTTTTCCTAAAAACACAATCTTTACTTATAAATGTGAAGAGTATAAGTGTATAGTACAAGTATCCATGTATAAATATTACTGAAGTTTTTCTAATGTTACAAACATGCTACCCAAGTCAATCTGCCAGTCTTGAATATTGGAGCAAAATAAATATTGTTCCATGTTCACAGATAATCCATCAGAAATGCTGGGTTTCAAAAAAACCCCAGACATCAAGAACACTGAGATGTCTCCCAGCTCTTTTAGTACCCTGATGCAAATTACTCCAGGTAGCTGATTTAAAGGTTTATCTCTAGCAGATGTTATTGATAGGGCAGAGAACAATTCATTATCCTCCTGTGCTATAAGCCATCATACTCATTATTACCCAAAGAA